CATATATAACCAAGCATTAGGCACACTGTGTCCCCCGGTCAGCTTTAGCAGTGTACCGATTCAACTCCATCTTGAATGGGGCATTAAAGGAGAAGTTCACCATTTAAAAAAAAAAAAATGCTGTTTTTTGCTAGTAAAAAAAAGGTTTTTGATTGCTCACATTTGTGAGGGTGACATTTTTATTTTTAGGTGTCCCAAACTAGAGTGTGAATTCAGCTAATAGGCATGAGAGGGCCTGTATCAGGCTTGGTCTGCCAAGAAGGCTCTGGCATCAGTTAAGAGTTGTATATTGTATAAACTGAAAAGGGGGGGGGGCTGTAAGGTCACTGTGCTATACGTTGTTTTTTGTTCCAAACAAATTTTATTGGAATATAACTGCAAATACAGGTAAGGTACTGCAACATATAAGTAAGGTATACATCAATGATATCTGCGTTGCAACTATTGGTAAAAATAATAGAGTAGGGCATATGACAGTCTTATAACAAATCAGGTCTCTTAAAGTTAAAAGGAACATGGACAACAATGGTCATTGAGATCATTACAGAAAATCCTAGAAATGTGTGATGGCCTATAGGCCCTCAATCCCGGAAACTGCAATTTCCATTATCAAGCTAGCGGAGGCATCAAAAGGGCAATATTGAGTTCAACTATATGCACTGTGGCCAATGCTGTCCTCCCAATACTTGATTAATCTCAGGGGACCCCAGAAAAGAGGAGGAGATGGAAATAAGAAAGGGGAAAGAGGAGGGAAGAAGGGGAAAAAAAAAAAAAGGGGGGGGGGGGGGGGGGGGGGGGGGGAGACAAAATGTGTTAGAGAGGTGAACCTTTGGCTGACACTGAGCTTACATAGAGGGTAAAGAAAGGGGGAGATATGCGCTGTGTCCTACCCCTCAGTGTGGGCTTTGTAAGGCATAGTCGTGTCCTTACAAGGGTGGAAGGGGTGAAAACCCACTGTCTCAATGCATGGGTCATGGATTCTGTTAATATCAGTTAGTTAGGGGTGCCATGATCGTTGTTAGGAATAGAGGTAGGCAACATTATTTGTTGAAACTCTGTAGTTTGGAAATGACAGGCACGGGTTTTTTGTGAATTTAGAGAGTGTTTGGCAATATATAGAAGTTCCTCCATTTCAGCGACTTTTGAGATTCGTGTGACCCATTCTACCAAGCTAGGTGTTTTGGGAGAGTCCTAGTGGATTGGTATGCAAGCTTTGGCTGCATTAAGCATATGTACAGTGAGTGAATTTTTATACCCCTTCTGAGGAAGTCTTGAAAGGTGTAATAAATACTGGGCTGAAGAGTAGGTTAGAGCTTCGGATGTCACCTTAAGAATGAACCATAGACCAGAAGAGTTAAATCAGGGGGCAATCCCACCACACATGTAGAAGTGAACCAATTGCCTGCTGGCACCTCCAACATTAATCAGAAGTGGAAGAATTACATATGTTTATCACAGCCAGGGTCCTGTACCATCTGGCCGAAAGTATATAGTTCATCTCTTGAATCAAGACATTGGTCGAGCCTTTGTGGGTGATATGAAAAATGTGTTCCCATTCATCAGAGGAGATATCCCTATGGAGATCTTTAGACCAGACCACGCAGGCTTTACTCGCATCTGATGGAATACTATTCTGTAAAAGGTTGTGAATTGTTGATATAACATGTTGCTGCGATTGTGCCTTCAGACAAAATGTTTCCAAAAGCTGTAGGTGGCCTAGACAAAGTAACAGTATGCCTTATGTTGAAATGGCATACGAGACTTGTGACGTGAGCAAAATGGCTGGTACACACAGCTATTCATGTGCCCAGTACACACCGGTACAATCTCCCCCCCCCCCCCCCTTACTGAAGAGTGTCTTGAGGAAGCAAGGAACTGAGTGGTTGTCTTTAAGCAAAGATGTTTGAAGGAAGCTGGGAGAAGTTCAGCTTTCCTGGAGAGACAGTTGTAATGGTTGTGCACAGTAGGCACACAGAAGCTAAAGGCAACAGCCATCTTGTCAGGTCTCAGCCCTTTTGTTTTTCCTGAGCCCCCTCCCTCCTCCTGCAAACTATATAATTCATAGTCAACTTCACACACTTCAAAGACCCTGTTCTCAAATTAGGGACAGCCGACACCAGCACATAGGCCTGGGTCAGAGCTGTAAACCACTAAATGAGGCCTGGCAGGTGATTTGTTTCTACAGACCATAAGAAAAAAAAAAAAAAAAAAAAAAGCCTACAGATTAACATGTCCCTCTGACCTATCGTAAAACAATGACAGAATCCAATCAGTTGTGTCACACATGGTGTAGGGCAATTAAAGCACTAGTAACATGTAGCGTGCCATAAATCATCTCCAACGAAAGCAGCCAGGCATGGGCAACCTGAGACCTCAACCCAATTCACAACTTAAAATCCACACAATTCATAAAATCCAACAGGACCAAGACACTAATATTTGGTATATGAAGGTCATACATGACTAATCTAGCCCATATGAAAGGGAAGAAAGCAGTCTATCTCCTGGGTGACAGACCCATCCAAAATATAAAAGCTGAACAATAAATTACCAGTTTCCAGATTGCAACCTGTACATAGTGGAAGTGATAAAACTAATTTGGGGCGCTCATAAACATGATGACATCCCAGCACCCACACCTTGAACTGGATGATTGGTCAGATTTATATTGTAAAGTACTGAGCAAACTGTTGGCGCTATATAAATCCTGAATAATGTCAACCCCCACCGCTTTGTGTCAGATAAAAACAAGCTATCAAATCTGCTTGCAATTTTTTTTTTTCTTAAAATATAAACCAAAAGAACATTTAACCATACGGCACAATTTTTTCTTGGACATTTGGACTCTGCTAAAACCAAAAGGACTTTGCAAGTGTTCATTGTCAACTCCCTACTAATGTTTAATGCACTTTTATTCTGTAAATATTTTTTTTTTCACCTTTTCATCATTATTAACCGCTTCCCAACCATCCTATAGCAGATATACTGCTACAGGGTAGCACAGGTGCATAAATATATACATAAACACTTTTTGCATTTCCGGGTAGGGCCACGTGCGTGCCCTTACCTGCATTGCCATTCGCAGCCGTGGCTGTCAATTACTGGGTCCCGGTAGAGGATTACTCACTGGCGCCCAGTGATTGCCGAGCATCTCCGACGGAGAGGAGAATGGTTTGTAAACAAAACAGTTCTCCCTGTCAGCTTGTACACACAGCTTTGGATGGCTGTGCAAAGCACAGCCATCCAAAGCAGTATGATTACAGTGTGACACACAGAGCCCCATAGTAAAGACACACCCAGTACAGCGTTAACCCTTATATTGCTCATGTTAACCCTTTTCCTGCCCAGTGCCATTTTTTAGCACTGATCACTGTATTGGTGTCACTGGGGATGTCAGTGACACCAAGTCAGTTCCCCCCAGTGTCAGAATGCCCACCGCAGTCCCGCTAGAAGTCGCTGATTGCCGCCATTACTAGTAAAATAAAAAACTCCAGTATCGCCATAACTTTCATGTAAACCATTAAATTTACATGTATTGGGATTTTTGTTTTAGCAAAGACATGTAGCAGAATACATCTTTGGCCCAAATCTGATTTTTTTTTTTAATTCTTTTCTACTGGACATGTTTAATAGCAAAGTCAAAATTTTTCTTTATAGCGCAAAAAAACAAAACAAAAAACCCAGGCGATCAAATACCACCAAAAGAAAGCTCAATTCTTGGGGGAGGGGAAACAAAACAAATAATTGTAAAATTTAATTTGGGTTCAGCATTGCATGATTGTGTAATTGTCAGTTAAAGAAACGCAGTGCTGCAACGCAAAAAAATGGCCTGAACGGGGGGGGGGGGGGGGGGGGGGGTAAATCCTATGTAGGCCAAGTGGTTAAATCCCATTTTGAAAAGAGTTAAACTGTCCCTAAGGCTTCTAATGCAAACTAAAATAATCCCTGTGTGGTAACTGTGTGCAGACATTTTTCATATTTGCTTTTGCTAAGAATATGTTTCCCCCTCAGTCAAAAGACAGGGATGGTAGCTTAAAGGGTTAATTGCTTAGGTAAATTAACCCAGTGACAATCGCTCAGTCTGTTGGCACTTATTGTGGCCCTGCAAGCTGGAAAATGTTTGTGCATGGTGCAGCTGTCGTGGTTACTTAAGTGATAGTGTGGTGTGAGACTGATCGATCCTTTGTTGCAAGTTGGCGAGACGGGCAGGAGGTTGGGCACCATGTTCATCACACCCAGGGGCGGACTGACCATTGGAGAACTCAGGCACTGCCCATGGGCCTGGGGTCAGTAGGGGGCCCCATGAAATGTCCCCGATACCTTTCATAGGATTTTCTGGGTGTGGTTTGAGTGTGGGCGAGGACACAGGGGCCCTATGATCCCCTATTGCCCGGGGGCCCCATGAGTTGTCAGTCCGCCCCTGATCACACCAGTGACTTTGCCAGCAGCAGCTCTTTCAGAGACCTGTCTTACAGGGTCTCCATTTTGGCCATTCCCAATAACCTTTGGCAGAAGACTGTTCAAGAAAGCCTAATCAAGAGTGTCAAGTTATTCAGCATCCCATACCACCCTCCCCCACCCAGAGTTCTGCAAACAATGAACTACAAAAAGCTGACCCCTAGACAGTTAATTGAATCCAGAGTTGATAGACTGGCTTTTGTGACTGATGGTCCCTGTAGAGTCTGGCAAAGAACCTGTTAAAATCTGCAGTTCTGGGGGTAACTTTTTTTTGGGGGGGGTTGTGCCTATGTCATAATACTATTTGTTATTATGGGAAGCACATGTAATGTGGATACGTTCATTCGCACGATTCTATATTTATTTTTGTTTTTTATTAGATCCTAGTCCTGTGAAGTTTCTTGCACAAAAAAAAAAAAAAAAAAAAAAAAAAAAAGGGGTCCGTCCAAGATATGTCATTACGAAGCACACATTTTATTTATAGATTTTTTAAACTATATACATAAATATACAAAGACAAGATTTGCCTTGGAATGAAGCACTTATTGCTTTTTAAAACTTTTCAGGATAGGATATATATTTTCAAATGCTTCATATATTTCAGAACGTTCTTTAGCACCTACAAAAGAGAAAAACAAGGAGAATGAACAATTGAATATTAACACTGATCAGTAGAATTTCACCCTATACAATCAATGTAGCACTTTGGTGCTCCCATCTCTTTTGTATAATGTCCACTGACATCACTAGGTTGTAAAGAAATTAGACCAAATATGGGTCCAGGCATCAAAATGTTATGTACAGGTAATTGGCGTTCAGCGTTAGAAGTTAGGATATGTTCATGCCAGCCACATTAAAAAAAAAACAAACAGATTTTTTCTTTCCAGAGGACACAGCGGAACACCGATCACTGTACAGGACCTTTGTGTGAGGTCCCAATCATGTGATCACTGATTGGCCAATCAGTGATCACATTAATAGTAAGCAAGAGGTCACTTGCTGACATCACTAGTGAAATCTGTAAATGATCACAGAGGTCACATGGTACAAGGCTATTCACAACAGCCTTGTACCATGTGACAAGCTGCGACCAATTACAGATCACAATATTTCTCAATGGCTGCAAAAATGCAGCCAGAGAGGAGAAATGATTTGCTTTTACACCCATAAAGGCTGTAAAAGCAATCAGTATAAAAAAACAAAACAAAAAAAAAAAAACCCACAAGTAGTACAGTGTTACTATGGTGAAACTGTACTGCTAGGGTGACAGTATGAAAAAAAAAAATTGGGGTTATTTTACTAAAAAGATGAATACATTTTGGCCACGATTCATAAAGAAAGATTATTTATTTGCAAAATTTTATAAGAAATTTTTTAAAATGTTTGGACTTTCATTTATATATCAAAAAAATAAAAAATCCCAGTGGTGAATAAATACCACCAAAATAAAGTTTTATCTGTCTCAAAAAAATGCTAAAAAATTCATATAGGTAAAGTGTTGCATGACCGCGCAATTGTCATTCAAAGTGTGATAGCACTGAAAGCTGAAAATTGGCCTGGACTTGAAGGGGGTTAAAGTGTCTGGACTGGAAGTGGTTAATAAACTACACGAGTTTGAGAAAGCACAACGCCTTCAAGCAGAAAAGTTGGTGCTGAAGGTTGTCCAATGCATGGATGCTCTAATTGCAAACACTTGTTTCTATGGAATAGATTTGGAGAGCGGCATTGCATGCTTACAGCTACTTGTGCATCTACTGCATGCCAAGCAGAAACAATGGTAGGATTCATTACCCATCACAGGTGCAAAACTGCAAAGCCTAGTTCTAATTAACCATTTATGGCTCAAACTAATAATCTGACAACACCCACCCCTAACTAGTCAACCCTGCTGCTATAAAGCATTGGTCTGTTGTCTTTTCCCCTAGGATAAGAAATGTACAAAAGAGTGACCACTTGTGAGACTCACCAGTTAATACCACCTTTCCAGACACAAAAATGAGTAGTACAATCCTTGGTTTCACCATCCTGTAAATGAGGCCTGGAAACAATTCTGGTTCATAGCTGGAAGCATACAACATTTTGAGATGAAGTTGAGAACTTGTAAGTCCTTAAATCACATACCTAAAAGCACATTTTACTAGAACACAGCATTGCAAGCATTATTCTTAAATATTTAATATTGGTGAACTCCACAAGGACTGCCTTTTCACATCTACTTCAAAATGACAGCAAGATTTCTTGCTGTATGAAGCATTTTTTTTGCATCCATCAGATATACAAAACCCTTTCAATGGCTTATTTAACTTGTAAATGGGTTGCGGTTGAGCTAGTTAGATGCTGTCCTGGACAGGAAGGTTGGAGTTGGGGCTCATTCACACCACAGTGCAGAGACTTCAGTTATTTTGTTATGCTTTTGCAGAACACATGCACAATTATTGTTCTCTCTGTGCCCTGTTCACACCACAACACTGGTATCAGGCAAATATTTTTTTCTGCACAGGAATCTGTAACGTGTATAAAATTGAAGAATGCATGGAAATTATGTAAATTGGTAAATGTGAATTGGTTAAGGCCGCTCCTTAACCAATTCACAGGTGGTCCTCTCTCAGGGCCAAAAGTCCTGAGCTTCCCTCCTCCCATGGTCCCTGCTTGTAGGTGAGCCCCTCTCCATCTGCCCGCCCCCCCCCCCCCCCACAGGCTCCTGCTCTTCCACCCAATCTCTCCTGCAGCTGAGCAGACTTGGCTACTCTTTAAGGCTGTCTTGGGCCCTTGCCAAGCCTCCTGTTTGGGATTGGCCAGGATCCTCTAACAGGACAGACTAGGCACTCCTCAGATCTGCCCACTGCTTCTAGATCTTTTTCCAAAGTCCTAGAGCAGGGGGAAATTCCAGAGAGCTCATCTGCAGAGCCTCTCAGCTTGGACCACAATTTGATCCCTGCTAGCTCACGCACACACGCTACTCAGCCCTAATAAGTGGAGTCTAGCTCTCCCTAGCTGACTAGAAGGGTGCTACATACGATAAAAAGGAAGGACAGGGGTCTGGATCAGAGAGCCCCTGAGCCCTGGGGTTGTGGAAAGTCTGAATCTATCTCCTGGTAGCCTGTTGTAATGTAGAGAGCTATCAGGACCTGGGGTTCGCCTTGAAAACCACAGCCACTGATGGACCTTTTAGCACATGGACTCGACTTTTGCAGGTATGCCAGAACAGCATATAGCTCAAATTAGGATGAGGGGTGTAGGGACAAAAATGGTTTTATTACATTATGGAGTTATGTTCAGAGTCTCTAAAAAGTGTTTAAACTTTGCCTTCTGCCTCGTCTGAAGTCAATTAAAGGAGTGCAATGCAAGTACACAGCCCATTCAGCTGTTGGGTCACTTGCCTATTGGGGTATGAAGAGACAGCACAAGTCATCCTGGTGCTGTACAACAAGGTGTTATCATGGGTAATGAATGTCAACAGTGTTCATGCAGCCTGTCTGAAGTGTGTACCTGTTATAGGTGGAACGACCTCTAACAGCAAGGGAGATGTCGGCACTCCTTCCGCCACAGTCTGTCTCCCATAGCAACAGGAACGGACTCGCACCGCAGAGGTTCCCATCCTGTACAGAGGTATGGAAGCTCAAGAGTCAAGTCAAGTGCACTGTGGAGCCCACACTAGGTGCACTGCAGGGCCCACTCTGCTACTGGGAATGGTAGTGGAAAATGCTGGACAGGTGGTTGTGGACAAGGCTCTGTGTCCCTCCCAATTGCAAATTACAGTGGGAGGATGTACATTTACGCGAGGAATGAAGGTTAACAGTTATAGTGCAAGTTCATATCTAAGAGTAGAGGCCCATCTTAAGGTTGGCTATTCCCCCACAGTGGCCTCAGCCTTGTCCCAGAGCACTGGTGAAAAGAGCACGAGAGGGGAAAAAAAAAAAAAAAGAAAAAAAAAAAAAGTACCCCATGTGTATTAGAGTTATCCTGTTCCAGGTACCTAGCATAGCCCAGATGAACTCACTCTGGGGCAGCCCTCCTATGAGACCCAGACTTGGTGCCCAATGAGTTAATTAGGGAAATCTGGAAAAGGGCAACACCAGCAAATATAAATTAGTATGTCTTGAATTGGGATTACCCCCTCTTTTCTGGTTACAAGTATGGAATACCCCTTACCTCCGCTACACAGTCACCAAAACTGTATGAGCACTTAAAACCTGGTAGTTGTCAAGCCTTTTCTAGATGCCACCCAGATTGAGGATTTAGCTGGAATTACACCAATACTAAAAATTCTCTTTTTTTTGTTAGGACAATTCAAAAGGAGCAGATTTGAGAGAAAAATAACCCACACACCCCCATTTCCAGCAGGAACCGGTTTTCATTCGTTATAGTCCTTTCATTTCAAATTTGAATCACTTTTGAATGACATTTGTCAAGGTATCAAAATATACAAGTTTATGTACTACTGTTCTTAATTCTAGTGTAGGGGAGGGAGCCAGGATTTTCACAGACTGGACTTCCAAGCATATCTGCCTTTGTTATCTGCATTAAATGGTGATGGGGATATCAGTAATTTACACAAGATCGTTTATCACAAGTCAACAGGTATTTTCTGTATTTGCTCATTTTGCAGGCCGATGACTGGTAATCTGCAATATATAAAGTTCCTCTTCTGGGTTTAGTTATACTTTAACCATTGCTACCAGAGGATTAGCCCCACTGTTCGATTAGAGCCAATACTGCCATTTGCAGAATTTACTCTGGGCTGCATTTGACTTTTACAATGCATCATAAAATGCAGACCTGTGTCAGTAACACATGTTCTCTGTGCTAGAAGAGTATAATCTGATAGCAGAGGAGGACATTACATGCAAGTCCATTAAATGCCTCTCCTATCATGACATTCTATGCAAAATTTCCCTCCTCCCCCTCACATTGCTTCCCACCCCCTCACTCACCCTAATGGGGCTTTGGTACCTTGGAACCCTGAAAGCCAATTTTACCTGCTGAATTGCTGGTGGGTAAGAACCAGTCCTTCGAGCCGAATGGGGAACCTCACGTCACAGCTTCCAACCATGTTCTGAATTTTGAAGTCGAGAAATTTTGCAGGGAATCCCAGCTTCTGTACAACTCGAGCGTACTTTCTAGCTGCCAGCCGTGACTGCTCTTCACTATCAAACAATTAAACCTTTTGAGTAATGCTAGCTTGCTGGTATATGTTAAAAGGAAACCTAAACACATGCTAAACAAGCCTTCATTTCCTATTCAAAAAGTGGATTTTCAGTTCTAAAGCCATATAGTCTGAAACTGTAAAAAACTCTTAAATTCTTCTGTGCAATAATACCTTATAGAATGCCACCTACTTATAACAAAGTCACAGCTTTTCCCAGAAATGTGCACACAGCTTGAGTTGAGGCTACAAGCATACCATGCAAAAAGGAGTTACATCTTTTAAACCAGAACTCCAGGTTTATGGTGAATTTCATTGTTGACAGTCACCAACAGATGCTCCCAGTAGGAGTGCTGTTTAACCACTTGCCCTCCAGAGGATTTACCCCCCTTCCTAACCTGGCCATTTTTTTTGCAATACCACAAAAAAAAAAAAAAACCCACACTATATTTTTGACTTTTAGCTGTTAAACATGCAATCTCCACCTCAACAAATTAGAGGAAGTCTTGTATTCATTCATAAAACACAAAGCTTCCTGGGAAGAGATGTGGGAAGAGAAGGGAGTTAAGCTTTAAAGTGGTTCTAAAGGCAAGACTTCCTGTAATGCATTCCATGCAATAAGTTAAATCATGTCCCAGTAGTTGTATTGTCCCCTCACAATCTAGCACTATGCCCTTCTGCAGCAGCATTGGTCTCTTCACCTTAGAGCACAGAGGCACCTTAGAGCACCATTGGCTCCTGATGCCTTCATTCAAATCCTGTGAGGAGGGAGCAGGGCCGAGCCACACTGTCTATGGATGCACACAGCTTGGCTCTGAAGCAAGCCTGCCTCATAAAATGGGGATTGGCTATGGGGCAGAGACAGATGAGAGCAGACAGCCCCAGAAGAGAAGGTGGGGGTTCTGGATGGACGTCCATAGATACGCTCCCAGAACTAGCCGGCTGCACTCTAAGTCTTTTGGGTATAGCGTGGTCCGGAATTAGTTAAAAAGTGGTACTAAACCCAGGACCCTGCATTCACTATATCTGGTCTCCAACAGAAAATGGAAATACAATTATTTTAGTAAATCTAAACTGCTAAATACCTTTTCTCATCAGAAGCATCTAACAGTCTTGTGACTTCTATCAGTTGCTGGACGAGCACAAGTTAATCTTATAGGAAGAGTGTTCATTCTCCTCTGCCTGTTCTATGAGGCTGCATGACCCCTGACCCTCTGGACTGACACACACTGCACTATGGCAGGTGAATTGGACAAACAAAAAAAAAGGGGGGGGGGGGGGGGGAAATCAGGAACCGGATCAGGAATCAGAACGACCGGATCAAACAGCCCTTTTTAGACAATGTGGAGGATTAACTCCTTACAGTGAGTATAACTAGCATGCTTCAGTGCATATACAGACTGATTTGTGGGTTTAGAGACACTAAGGCTTTGAGTGCATCAATTGCTCAGAACCAATCATAACCTGAGTTTATTACATGGATAAATGAAAGCTGAAGACAAATCTGAATGATGTGTCTAGTATTAAGAGAACCCTAGCAAAGCCCTCCGCCATTTGCAGTGGATCTAAAGGATCGATCTTCTAGTGTGGGCATTTTTTGCCCTATACTACTACAGCATATACACTGTAACCTCTGTGTGGGCTACTAAAAAGGTCTTATTTCTTCAGTGGACCAAAACATGCAATGTTACCTCTTTGCCCCAGTGCAGACCATCTTCCCAGAGCTGAATATAAGTGCCGTTGTTCGTGGTTCCCGAATCCTCATTATAACCGCAGCAAATCTCTAGGTTCAAGACATAAAGGGCTTAGTATTTGTAAGTGAACATGCTATATGGTAAAGTTAATTCACATGCAAGCTCACCTTTGGGTTGTATTCTGCATTTCTGGCATGTAGGGCAATTTTCTTTAAGTCTAGCTTGCAAGCTAAATTCACTGTGGACACAATATTCCTGAAAGAAGAGTGCAGGTAGGTTTGTAGCTGTGGTAATGGTATCTGAACTTCAGCAAAAATTTTTAACTTATATATAATTAAGATCACAATTTGTAATCTATCACCAGGAATCAATGAAAATATATTAATATTCTCAGCTTTTGCCCCCCCCCCAAAACTGCTGCTTGGTTATTAGCCGCTCAGGCACAAGGCTATCATGGGGCAGGGATCTGCAGAAGTAAATATAGATTTAGCTGATCATTGCCCCAGGGGTAGAGAGGAGGGTCAGATTAAAACTGGCTATACAAGAAGATAGCGTTTAGCCTACAGATTAAATATACTATGTTAAACCTTTGGACAGAGCTGAAGAGTTTTAAACAGCAGTACATTTTCAATGTAATCCAGATACTTTCATGTCCACTTATGGAGGCTCCTCACTGTCACCTTTAAACGCAGTATTTAATCCCCAAAACAATATTTTGCAGCTGACAAATTGGATGTGGTGGCTATTCACACCTTCATTCTAAGCCTATTCTATGCACCCCGTAAGAGGAAGATATCTACACTTATCTATTCTGAAGGTGCTCCAGTCCGGTCACATGACCGACTTCCAGCCCCAGCTTCAATGTAGAGGGACAGCCAACAAGGAATGCCCCATAGTAAGCCTATGGGTGACATCACAGGTCTGCAGCTGTTGTCATTGCTCTCTGCTCTACATGGAAGCCAGTGCTGGAGATATCCCGTGACCAGACTGGAGCGACTTCAAAATACACAGGGTAGATAGAATAGGCTTAGAATGGGGGGTGAGAGTGGATTTAGGTTTTGACTGGAATTTATACTTTAAGCCTTCGTCCCTTACATCCTCAGATTTATAATGCTGCTGTCCAAAAAGGTGTCTGTTCCAAGACATGAAAGTATGGTACTGGAAAAAAAAAAACAAAAAAAAAAAAAAACACACACACAAACAAAAACACAACTATTATGCTCCCAATAAAGACATTTTTATTATTAAGTATTAATGCAATCAGACATTAAATAAACGTAACATACAGAGATAGAAGGCATCAGGATTGAGCGATTAAAAAAAAAAAAAAAAAAGGGGGGGGGGGGGGGGGGGAAACATGAAAGTAGTTTGACCGTGCTTTTGAACAAGTAAGCCCCACTGTTCTTGTATTGGCTTTTAACCTCAATACATTTGTCCTCCATTTCAGAGCCAAAAGGAACTCAGACAGGCTGATGAATGTACCCCAGCATCAGCCCCTCCCAAATATGTTGGATCACATAGCTTCAGATAATGGGGTGCTTGGGTAAAGCCACCATTGCTTTGACCATCAGAAAGGCAGGCCCTTTCCCACACTGAATTTTTAAAGCCATAAAATCACAGTGTAAATTTGCTGTCTACTCAAAATAAAACACATAGCCATTAATGTCTAAACTGCTGGCAACAAAAGTGAGTACACCCCTAAGAAAATGTCCAAAGGGGGCACAAAGTGTAAATATTTTGTGCGGCCACCATTATTTTCCAGCACTGCCTTAACCCTCTTGGGCATGGAGTTCACCAGAACTTCACAGGTTGCCACTGGAGTCCTCTTCCACTCCTCCATGACGACATTACGGAGCTGGTGGATGTTAGAGACCTTGCACTCCTCCACCTCCTGTATGAGGATGCCCCACAGATGCTCAATAGGGTTTAGGTCTGGAGACATGCTTGGTTAGTCCATCACCTTTACCCTTAGCAAGGCAGTGGTTGTCTTGGAGGTGTGTTTGGGGTAGTTCTGTTGGAATACTGCCCTGCAGCCCAATCTCCGAAGGATCATACTCTGCTTCAGTATGTCACAGTACATGTTGGCATTCATGGTTCTCTCAACTTGTAGCTCCCCAGTGCTGGCAGCACTCATGCAGCCCCAGACCATGTCACTCCCACCGCCATGCTTGACTGTAGTCTTTGTACTCCTCACCAGGTTGCCGCCACACACGCTTGACACCATCAGAACCAAATAAGTTTATCTTGGTCTCATCGGACCACAGGACATGGTTCCAGTAATCCATGTCCTTAGTCTGCTTGTCTTCAGCAAACGGTTTGCGGGCTCTCTTGTGCATCATCTTTAGAAGAGGCTTCATTCTGGGACGACAGCCATGCAGACCAATTTGATGCAGTGTGCGGCGCGAGGTCTGAGCACTGACAGGCTGACCCCCCTCCCCTCCAACCTCTGCAGCAATGCTGGTAGCACTCATACATTTCACAAAGACACTGAATGAGGAAACAAAGAGGGCACACAGGCCTAGTGCATTGCCAATAAAAATGTTTAATAAGAAATAAAGTAGGTGTTGTACTCACAAATGAGAATAAAGTCAAGGCACATCATAAAAGAACAGCTGGGTCAACACCGCGCTGAGTAACAGTCTGCAATGGGGAGTGTAGACATCCAATAGGCTAATGAGTTTCGAGGACTTGCCTCTTCCTCAGAGGCTCTCATTTGTGAGTACAACACCTACTTTCTTATTAAACATTTTTTATGGTAATGCACTAAGCCTGTGTGCCCTCTCTTTGTTCTTTCCTCATTCAGTATATTTGGATTCCCCCGGTCCATTTGAAGGCAGCAAGGTGTGCATGTTCCAGGACATTCTTAATGTGGTTGTAGCCTGCATCGAGTCCATCCCCAGCGCAGGTTCATTTCACAAAGACAACCTCTGGATATGACACTGAGCACATGCACTCAACTTCTTTGGTCGACCATGGCGAGGCCTGCTCTGGGTGGAACCTGTCCTGTTAAACCGCTATATGGTCCCAGCCACCGTTCTGCAGCTCAGTTTTAGGGTCTTGGCAATCTTCTTATAGCCTAGGCCATCTTTACGTACAGCAACAATTCTTTTTTTGATGCGAAGAGTTCTTTGCCATGAGGTTCCATGTTGAACTTCCAGTAACCAGTATGAGAGTGTGATAACACCAAATTTAACACCTGCTCCCCATTCACGCCCAAAACTTTATAATACTAAAGGAGGCACATGACACCGGGGAGGGAAAATGGCCAATTGGACCCAATTTGTACATTTTCACTTAGGGGGTATACTCATTTTTGTTGCCAGTGGCTTAGACATTAATGGCTGTGAGCTTTTTGAGGGGACAGCAAATTTACACTGTTATACAAGCTGTACACTCACTACTTTACATTGTAGCAAAGTGTCATTTCTTCAGTGTTGTCACAAGAAAAGATATAATAAAATATTTACAAAAATGTGAGGGGTGTACTCACTTCTGGGAGATACTATCGATCTATCTACATACACACATTGCTCCATCTCTCTCAAAACCACCAATGCTTTCTTTTAAAGAAACAGGAAGGCTGCTTCTACCAACTTTCTAAATATGCATACTGTCTGGTTGTCACTAGCAGTAGTGCCTGGCATAATTGACCTAAGAAAATCATGCAGCAAGTGAAGTTAGAACAAAGTCACAAATTGCTTGATGTGTTATCTCTGTTAAGGACTCAAGCTCAAAATGTTGGGCGGCAATCTGCTTTTCAAAATTGCATTTGCCCTGGTTCAATAGTCCAGTATTTGACAATATCACACTCCATTATTTGGCTTTACATTTCACACAAACCACCTGGGCATAGAACGTACTGTAACTGAGGAATGATCCCAGAGGACTCTGCTACAGGGGTCATCGGAGTCATGGGCGTCATAGGAGTTATAGGCATGGGGCGAAGGCTGGAAGCATCTTGGGAAGAATCCCTGTTTTCACAAGGGGTGAATGGCTGTGAGAGACCAGAAGCATCCAGGCAAATTCCACTATCCTGCAATTCTGATTGGTTACTCTTTTCTTCATGAGGACTTAGGTCATCAGGCAGAAAGCTCAGGTCCAGATCTGCAGAAAGATCTTTGGACTGGTCCAGATCAGATCTATAGGATGTTTCAGGGATTGGTTGGATATTTAGGTCATCGTAGGAAGTTATTGGAGTGTACATTTGAGGGATAGAGTGAAGGACATCCTGAGAGGAGAACAAAAGTGCAATGATTAGAGTGGAGAGAAAAAAAAAAACAAAACCCCCACACACCCAAAACGCACTAATAACTTAAAAAAAAAAAAAAAAAAAAAAAAAAAAGAGAGAAGAAGAAGAGGTCTTCTCTTAAAGCAAACCCCCCCCCCCCCCCCCCGGCAACATTCCAAAACTAGAATTAGTGTGTGCTGTAAATTGCCTCCAGCATTGCCCTTTTCTTCTTGTTGGAGGCTGCAATTTTGTTGAAGCCCAGACCAGTGACCTTATTGGATACTACCTGTAATTGGTCTCAAGAATGTCACTTTCTTCCTTCAACCACTTACAACCGGACGATTCCCCCCCCCCCCCCCTTCCTGACCAGGCCATTTTTTGCATTACGGCACTGCGTTACTTTAACTGACAATTGCACAGTCATGCAACGCTGCAGCCAAATGAAATCCACATCTTTTTTCCCCACAAATAATGAACTTTCTTTTGGTGGCGATTGCCTGTGCATTTTTTACGCTGTAAAAAACAAACAAAAAACACCACACCACTTGGTATTACACATGTCCGGGGAAAAAAAAAAAAAAAAAAAAAATTAAAAAATAAAAACATTTCATCATAAATTAGCTACTTGTCTTTGCTAAAAAAAAAAAAAAAAAAACGTCCCAATACGTCGAAATTAAAATGGTTTACGTGAAAGGGCGGCGTGAGTTGCAAACAAATAGTCATATTGTGAAAACTATCAGGACTATGGCTTAGCCGTGGACATTTTTATTGGCAGCAGGGATAGCTGAACGTTTTGATATAAGATTTGTGTAGGTGGGCTTGAAAATGACAGAGCGATGGCAGTTTAGAAATCATGTCCTGATTTTTCAGCTCACACTTTAGTTTTGAACATTCTGTCATTCATTCCTATGGGACCAATTTCACCACAAAAACGCAAACCATTTGGCGAAACATTCCACAAAGTAATAGCACACCAATTGGGAACAATCCGCACGTTTCTGTATATTACTGTCTATGTAGTGTAAAAACTGTGGGAGGAGTTAGGGGGTAAAATTTGGCTATAATAAGAAGAATATACATGTGAGATAACAGTAAGTGGTCTTGCCATGCAAGAATACTTAATAAAAATAAATAAATAAAAAACCCTATGCATACAGCTGTTCTAGGTCTAGACACTAACATTAAAAATGTCTTAAGAATTTTGCTTTAGATTTACCAAAAGCCATATATTACGATGTCAAACCTAAACACTTTCAATTGTATTCAATTAGGCAGGTCCTTACACTACATAGTTGAAGTTAAATCTAAAGGAAATTGGGCAGAAAATTTGTATAATGTATGGCCAGCCTTAAGACCAAACATGATCATAAAATCAACCAGATTGATTGACACTTTGGTGAATGGGAAAAAGGTGTATATTAGGGAAGGTTATTTTGGTTGAGTGGGGTCAGGAGAAAGTGGGTTCTCTGAAGGTTTGATGATTGGATGAGTATTCTGGGTACCCCATCATCTGCCTTGTCTGTACCTCTGTTTTATGGATGGTCGCTGAGCTGATTAAATGCATCTCTGGAAAAGAACTGTTGCACTAGTTGCTGCGGGAAAATACATTTATAAATATACACTCATCATCCACCCACGTTAATAGAAGACAACAGATTGTAACAAATGTCTTATGGAGTGTTTCTGTGTGTACGTCGTAACAGAGAAGACAACATGTGGCAGGTATTCTGACACCGGGGGGGACCGTCACTGACATCCCCAGTAACACCAATACAGTGATCAGTGCTAATAAAAAGCACCGACACTGTACTAATGGCACAGGGCAGGAAGGGGTTAACATGTGGGGCCGATCAAAGGGTTAACTGTATGCGGTTTTACTATGAGGGCTGTGTGCGCGTTACACTGTAAGCACACTAATTTGTATGGCCATACAAAAGCAGTGTGTAGGATCTGATGGGAGAGATTTGTATTGTTTACATACAGGTCTTTCCCTTGTCAGAAATCCTCAGCAATAGTCAGAGAATCACTGGCTGGGACCTGGTGATTAATAGCCCCCCCCCCCCCCCCCCGAGATCCTGGGCTTTTTCCACTCCTGGTTCAACTTGTGTGAGGGCCCTGAAGTGGGCTGAAGATACTAGGGGCTCCAGAGGACAACCAGCAATGGAGACTGCCTGCATGAACTACCATCTCAGAGGTATGCCTGGGCAGCCACACAATTGTAGTTAGGATAGTTCTGGCATATCTAATGAACCGGGGTCAGTAAAACACAAAAGGGGTATGAAGTCGCGACATTAAGAAGGGGTTTGAGGAACAAGTCAAGAAAGTTGTGGCATTGCTATGAGAAATTAAGAGCAAGACACGAAGAAACCAGTCAAGGGTGTGATACATGGTAAGGTAGCAGGTCCTCCTGTAGCGAGGGGGGTCACTGTTTGGACCCCTCCAGAGCAGTCCTCCCATAGCAACCAGGAGCAAACCAGCATTATGGAGATACATGACCTGGCTGCAAAGTATTGGAAGCAAGGGAGTCAACAGTGAGCACACGAGGTTCATGCTATGTGCTCGGCAGGGACACATTCTATTATTCGGAGGTAACAAGTATGCTGGACGGGTGGAGCAGGAACAGGCTCACCACATCCCTCCTAATGCATCTACTGAAGGCACAAGGACACCACGTTTTTAGAGGAACTCTATCTTACTGCACACAGTGTAAGCTCATCTCCAAGTCAGGGAACTGCCTTAATGTTAGATTTTTCACATGACTGCAGCAGGGGCGGACTGACAACTCATGGGGCCCCCGGGCAATAGGGGATCATGGGACCCCTGTGTCCTTGCCCAAACTAAAAAAAGCCTATGAAAAAGTTACCAGGGGCATCTCATGGGGCCCCCTACTGACCCCAGGCCCTGGGGCAGTGCTGAGTTTCCAAATGGTCAGTCCGCCCCTGGACTGCAGCCTTTACCTAGTCCCAGACATTGATGAGCATGCTCTGCGTGAAAAAGTACCACTGTGGGAGGACCCCACCCACAAGCTCTTCACTGGGAAGCTCGGTGTAGTTCCTCTGCCTCTTGCAGACCCCCAGCTCCTTACAGCGTACTTGTGTATTCGTAATTTCATACATGACTTAGATTCACACATGTGGTGCAAGTTGAACCTCAGTTTTCACAGCTAATTGACAAAGTAGTTCAGCAGAATCAGGTCAGGATTTAATCCTGAAGGATGTGCAATTGAGAAGCGGTCCCATAGAAGTCTCCTAGATTGTAAGCTCGAAAGAGCAGGGCCCTCGATCCCCTCATGTTTTGCATTGTATTGGTATTGTTCTGTCACATGATCTGTTCCCCTCTGTAATGTACAGCGCTGAGCGAACTATTGGCGCTTTATAAATACTAAACCATATAAATGCTGCGCTACATTCAAACTTATTAAGTGAATGTGGAATCCAATGACACAAATCCAATATAGTGACAATAATAATGAAATAAATAATACGTGCTTACTAATAACAAAATTATCAAATAAAACACCCAAAAAGATGAAAAAACACAAACTTAAATCTATACACATGTGCATAAAAATACACATACATATAGTTACATCACACGTGCAAATGTGAAGTGAAATGATGGTTGCTTATTAAACGCAAACAAAAAGTCCAATATAAAAATATTGAAGGTGAACAAAACTGTAAACGGTGTTTCCAATAATACTGTAAAGTGACCACAGGTGAAAACAAATCGTGCAGGTATCTGGGTGTAGATAGAGCTTATGAATCCAACCACCTTCTGGATTAGCCCCTCACCTCATCACTTCGACCCTTGCGGATCAAAGAGCAATAATGGATCCCTCTCACAGATCCTCCAGGCACCACAGCACTCCAAAAAACGCTTTTCAGGATTTAATATTCCCACTCAAGCTCTTCTCCAGGTATAGGTGAAATATCAATCTCTCCTCGCTGTTCCTTCACATGTGTGTTTCTCTGTGCTCACCTATCTACCCATAGGTGAGCACAGAGAAACACACATGTGAAGGAACAGCGAGGAGAGATTGATATTTCACCTATACCTGGAGAAGAGCTTGAGTGGGAATATTAAATCCTGAAAAGCGTTTTTGGAGTGCTGTGGTGCCTGGAGGATCTGTGAGAGGGATCCATTATTGCTCTTTGATCCGCAAGGGTCGAAGTGATGAGGTGAGGGGCTAATCCAGAAGGTGGTTGGATTCATAAGCTCTATCTACACCCAGATACCTGCACGATTTGTTTTCACCTGTGGTCACTTTACAGTATTATTGGAAACACCGTTTACAGTTTTGTTCACCTTCAATATTTTTATATTGGACTTTTTGTTTGCGTTTAATAAGCAACCATCATTTCACTTCACATTTGCACGTGTGATGTAACTATATGTATGTGTATTTTTATGCACATGTGTATAGATTTAAGTTTGTGTTTTTTTCATTTTTTGGGTGTTTTATTTGATAATTTTGTTATTAGTAAGCACGTATTATTTATTTCATTATTATTGTCACTATATTGGATTTGTGTCATTGGATTCCACATTCACTTAATAAGTTTGAATGTAGCGCAGCATTTATATGGTTTATATTCACTTGATCACTGGTATATGATTTAATGCTAGCAGCTGTTTGGGGTTCATATATTTAATTTGTTTTAATTGTTTAAACACATTATTTGGAGCGCAGGAGGGTCTCACCACTA